CGGCGCAGCTTCGCTCTCCTTGACTCTCAAAAGCAATCCTGGCTCGGCCTCTGGGCGAAGGTTTAGGGCTTAGGATTTAGGGTTTAGGGTTTAGGGTTTAGGGTTTAGGGTTTAGGGCTTACGGTTTAGTGCTCCTTACAGGGCTCCCTTTAGGGATCTGGGTTGAGGGTTCAAGGGTTTAGGGTTTAGGGGTTTAGGGGTTTAGGGTTTAGGGCTCCTTAAAGGGCTCCCTTTAGGGATCTGTGGAGTTCTGGGTTGAGGGTTGAGGGGTTTGGGGTTTAGGTTTCAGGGTGGCTTTGGGGTTTTGGGGCTCCTTAAAGGGCTCCCTTGAGGGATCTATGGAGTTCTATAAGCGTTGAGGGTTGAGGGGTTTAGGGTTAGGGCTTTGGATTTAGGGTTTAGGGGCTAGGGCTCCTTAAAGGGCTCCCTTAAGGGATCTACGAGGTTCTGTAAGGGTTGAGGGTTGAGGGGTTTAGGGGTTCAGGATTTAGGGCTTAGGGGTCAGGCTGTTAGGATCTAGAGTTTATAGCGTTTAGGGTTTAGGACTTGGGCTTTAAGGGTTGGGGTCTAGGGTGCCAGGGTGTCAGGACTTGGAATTTACGATTTAGGGTGCAGGACCATGTATGGTTTAAGGGTTAGGGTCTAGGGTGTTAGAGTGCTAGGATCAGCCACCGTTAAGGCCCCGACAGCAGCCCATGTGAAACATATGAAACCCTGTACATCGTTCTGCCAAACCGATACTTACGGAAACATCTTCGACTAAATATCGGATACCTGGACTCTGAACCCCAAACCCTACATGGGCGTGAAGGAGGGTGTAGGAAGCCGCTTGGACCCTAAGTAACGGTCCAAAGGATCCTGTCATTATATATGCAGCTTTGCGATAGCCCTCAGGTCCATGTACCCAAATAATGGAATTCGAAGCTTCGGCCTTAAAATAGAACTTTGCAGGCACTTTGGGGCCAGAGTATGGGCACATGTACCCTTAGGGTAGTGGTTCTAGAGGTTAGTATTTGGGAGCGTACATGATTTTCGCATATTTCGGCCTAAACCCGAAACCATAAACCTGGACCGTTGGGAAAAGTGAAAATTACAGCAGGCGCGATAGCGCTTTATAGGCGGATAGGGGGCTTAGAAATAGGATGACTTGTAGGGTTTGGAGATACAGCTTCTTACGGAGCCAAGGAGCGCGACGGACGCGGCATCCCCCTTGTCTTTTTTGCCATCTTTCTTGCCCATGGCGAACCCTCCACCCTAAACGGGTTGGGGCTTAGAGTGTGCAGTCATATCGGACATAGAACGGTTGCTTCGGGCAAGAAGGGCCACAGGGAAAGAGGATGTAGTTTTGAATGCCGAAGCCTAAATACGAACTTACCCGAAATCAATCCCCAAATCCTGCAAGCTAGACCCTAAACACACATAAGACACCCGGATTCTTATTCATAGACACCCTCTAAAAGTCCTGTGAATCAGGGGGGTACAGGCCGCTTGAAGTTGTCTGCTGCGCCCACGGGCTGGAAAAACAACGGTCCCTGACCCAGCCCCTCGAGCCCGGATCGTTCCGCAAAGCCGAAAGGATATGTAGCATTTAGGATTTAGGGGTGTAGGCTTTAAGGCTTAAGGTTTAAGGTTTAGGGTTTGGTAAGAGGATAAGTGGTGGCATCGACATCCCAGGGGCTCCTTATTATAAGTCCAAAATATATGCCACAAAACCAAAATTGCAATGGCAAGGGCCCCTGCATTATAGTTAGCCCTAAGGGTCCAAAGGACCCAACAGTTAGGTACTGGGTTTTAGGGTACTAGTTCTTTGGGTAGCATTTTGCAGAGTATTTGATTGTTAGGTAATTGGACCCGTAGGCTGGGATAATTAAGACGCCAAAAGAGCCCAATGGGCCCTAAGTAGCCATATAGTAGAGTGTAACGCTTCTGTAATAGGAACTACTATGTATGCATCATGGTTTGGGCATTATAGTTAAGGTTTGGATCTGTGGGGTTTCCAAACACGTTGTTGTGCAGGGCATGCTCAGGAAGTGTCGTAAGACTTTGAAAGGGCCTTTGCAGGGTGCTGTCCTAAGCCCTATATATCCTAAACCGAACCCTGAACCCTAAACCCTAAAAGCCGATTTAGTCAATAGGTCGTCATTGGGCTCGGAAGCACGCCCAATTGGAGCTTGTGCCCTTCGATCTTATTCCATGTCGACCCCTGATTAGTAAACCACCGTCCCGGAATAAGAAAAATAAAGGAAACCTACTATTAAGGCTCAGTAGAACAGGGGAATCATCCAGGCGTCTACATTGTATAGCTTATCGTGAACCTCAATAAGTTGGAACACAAATTCAAAATATTTTGTGCTGGAAATCATCATTATACTTTGGCCTTAACGGCATGAGGATCATGATGGTCCAACTTGCTGGCCTCTACGGTTGATGACATAAACCCTGCATTACCCATATTAAGGAATATACCATAATCCCCATAGCTTAGGGCCCTATGCCGGATTTTTATCATCAACCGTAGTTTGTCACCTACTTCCGAGAGTCTCCCGATGCTTCAAGCACGAGGCTTAGCACGTTTCCTGTACAAGAGTTTTCTGGTCTTAGACTTTAAGGTTTAGGGTTTAGCCTAGGGTCGATTGGATTGGAGTTATAAAGGCTTAACAGTTTTTGTAAGGCGTGAAACAACTCTCCCAAGTGCGGCGCTGCGTGCTATTTTGAGCAGTATGGGCAAGTCCCAGACTCCCAGACCCCTAGCTCAAACCTGAAATTTTGACTGCTCAAAACATGGTTGGGTTCTCTCCGTCTCTCTCCCTCTCTGCTTTTCTCTCTCTCTCTCTCTCTCGCTCTTTCTCTTCGAACATATATATATATATACATATGCGACCAATACGTATGCATGTATGTATGTATGTCTGTCTGTCTGTCTGTCTGTCTGTCTGTCTGTCTGCATGCATGGATGTATGTATGTATGTATGTATGTATGTATGTAAGTAGGTATTCATGCGCGTACGCCCTCAATCCCTCAGATCATTTAAACGCCGCCGCATCGAACACACGGCCACATATCTAGACAAACAGATGATTCAGGAATGCTTAGAAGTGCAATAGGGTATAGTAGAGTACAGTTATATAAGGACTATATTGTTATAGTCTATAATCTTACCGAGTCATCCACGCTTCTAAGACGATGGGAACTCCTGTCTGTATCGCCGCGCTTCCGGATCCTCTGAACTTGAACATCTATACAGCCTTTCAGGGCGTTGAAGGTTTATCTATAAGCGTTTAGGACACCGGGCCAAGGGTGGAAACCGAACGAAGCCAAAATCCGAAACCGCAGCACATGCCCAATGTACGTCTCCATGGGTAAACCAGCAGCCGCCAAAAGCCGTGCATGTACGAGGCATCCTATCTACCTTACTGACCAGTAATTAGGTAGCTGGGGTCCAGAACGGAATGTAGTTGGGCGTCGGGCTTGGGAAGTCCTAATTTCGACCTGCAGCCGCCCAACCCTACGAAATAGTAGCATGGAAAGGCACTCAAAGAGAAGATCCCCCTTTAGGGATTTAGGGTTCCCTAAAAGGATCTATAAGTGTTTCTATGTGCTTCTATAGGGTTTATATAAGGGTAGCTATCTAGATTAGGGTCTAAAAAGAAACAACAGCACCGGCTTATGAGGAAAACGTAAAACGGTACAGCACTGCCGCAGCCTACCCCGTAGGAAAGCGTGCTAGCGTTTAGGGTTTAGGGTTAAGGTGATTAAGGGTGTTGAGTTTGCAGCCCCGAGGGCAACGACGCCGTGAGTACAGCGAATACCCCCATCAACAGCACATGATTGCAGCCACCGGCAAAATATTAGTTTAATCAAATCCTCCCACAGCTTTATAACAGAACCCCTGTATTCGGAACGCAAAGCTCCCTAAACCCTAAACCCTGAATCCCAAACTGACTGAGGCCCCTGACCCAGAGACAAAGGCCGCAGTTGACCCGAACAGGCGCTATGGGCGAGGATGCAGGCCAAGACGACCTGTCACGAACACAACCAACATACCTATAGCCCTCCTTGGTACTTAGGGTGTCAGGGAGGGTAGATGAAGGGTCTGGGTACCTAGAGCCCTCCTAAACTTGACGAGGCGTGTAAAGCCCCCGGGCTTTCTTTGGACCTGCTCTGCAAGGACTTCCTAGGGGTAAAGGCAGGCATGCGAAATCATTTGAATGAGAAGGCACCGATGCACGCGATATACGGGAATGCAAATCTCAATATATACATATGCATGCCATCTGATGCATCCCGCTGCCTCCTTGTATGTTGTATACATACATATTTATACACATGTATGTATGTAAATATGTCTACATAAACATATATATATATATGTATGTAAACGTGTGCATATACATATATGGCAGAGGACATGGAAACTTTGTGAAATACTTGCCCTGCACGACAGTGATGAAACTTTAGACGGCCTGTCCGCGTGCATGCAAGGCGTGGTGGCCACACCTGTCAGCAGAGGCCCTAAGCCCTAAACCCAAATCCCGAAACGGTAGACCCTACAACTGAACAAAACCCTAAATCCTTGACCCTAAAACCCTTAACTCTAAAACTCTAAGCCATTCAAGCCCTACGCCCCTGAAGCCCTACAGCCTAAACCCTAAACCCTAGAACACGCCCTAAACCCTGAAACTCCAAACCCCCAATTCCAAAACGGCCCGGAGCTTCGACGGTCAAATGTAAAAGGCAACATTCAATCTAGTCCCACACTTCACTCGAATTTAGGGTTTGCAAGGCTTAGGGACCAGGTCTTAGACCTTATTCTGGGTTGAGAGTTTCGGGCTTAATTCGGACCCTCAACGACTTTAGACTGCTTTTCTGTTTTGGTATTACTTTGAACCCTACTATGGAATTTGTGGGCTATCCTACAAAAGGTCGGCTGCGGTGGTCAAGCCCCGCCGTACCGCATGGCGCTAGCAGACATCACTTCCACAAGGGTATAAATGCAAGGAGTGCGCCCAACAGCCCGAACCTTGAATTCACATACATACACACCCTTATGTGCATGTACATGTGTACATGTTTGTAAATATTTGTATGTATGTGAACATAACATACATGCACATGTACACATGCTCATGTATGTAAAGCTGAACAAAGCCTAGAAATAGATACATACACAACGTCGTGTGCGTCTAGAAATCTAGTGCATCTATAGATTATGTAGAAAATAAATACATAAATAAATAAATAAAAATATATATACATATATTGATATATATATATATATAGGTATACATATATATATATATATACATATATATATATATGTATACACATACATATTTATATATGTATGTGTATATCTGTATATACGCATTTTTTACGTGCACATGTATATGCAGGTGTATGTATGTATATATATATATACATGTGTATACTATGTGTATATATATGCACAAGTTCACACACATATGTATATGTATGTCATAAATATATCTATACATATGTGCGTGGGCGTGAGGCCGACAACTGAGAATGTGAATATCGATGTATGTATATGAACATGTATAAAAGCAGATGCTGGCATTCATTCAGATTCAGACAGATAGACAGAAACATAGACATCAATAACACAATAAAAACAGTACCTAAATATTTACATACAGAGAGGCATAGTTCGACAATAAAAAAGGAACACATGAATAACCATAGACAGATAGGTAGATAGCTTAGATAGCTAAGTAGGTAGGTAGATCGATAGCTAATTAGGTAGCTAGATGGATAGATAAATACAAAGCTGTGGAGACTGAGTAACCGCATGGCTACAAGCCCCAGCGCTGCCGAATGCAAAGACACGCCTGCGCAGGTACTCGCCAATGGCGACTTCGGCAGCGCGCTCTGCAAAGTCTCCGCTGCTCTCCACAGCCTCTGAAAACTGAGCAGAGTATAACTCTAAGGGTCCATGTATACACTTGGCCCTAAAGTACCGAAATAGAGACTGCATTAAGGCCAAGGTGTATGCGATTTGGGCACATGGACCCTTAGTGTAACAGGGTTTTACAGGGTTTTAACTGGTGGATAAAAGGGGGGGGGGGGTGTAAATGTATACAGATATTGAAACGTCCTCTAAAAGTCTGTAGTAGGTGCTCTTTTCAGGAAGCATTTCCGGGCATGTGAATCGCTTACGGTAGTGTGGAGTTGCTGCTGTGGTTTTAAGGCCCCTGGTTTGTTTAACGCATGTTTTGGT